TTTGAAAATATCGGGCGCCGGCTGGTTTGACTATTAGTTCATCCGCGGTTGGAAGCACAAACGTTTCTACCACGATTTGCGGATTTAGGGCCTGCAGGTCATTGCATATTCTTAATGTAACGTCCTTCTTGAGGACTGTAACCATAGGTGGCCCAATTCAGAACAGGTAATGGGTTCAATGAGATAGTATCTGCAATCATCTGCCGTAATGCAGAGGAAACAAGCTCTCATCTGGCCAAAGGAATTGGACGTGGATGAGCAGTAGCTACCGGTTTGGCATCCTGCTTCAGACATATGCGGTGAACGGAGGTGGGAGCGCGCCCTATTGTTTGTTCAAATAACTTCGGGTACTTTGTCTGTAGGTCTGATAGGTTAATTGCCATGATACGCATACGAGATAGGGACGGTGTGACTCCCAGTGTAACCATAGCTTTGCGTCCGATTGAGGGAGGGTTAGTACCGCGGGTAACGTACACAGCAACTGATGATTTCACGGCCTTAAGTCGCTACACCATCACCACAAATCCTCGTATTTCTATCGGAGACTGTATAACTGTCAAATCGCTAAGCTGAAGGATGTATAGGCATGTCCTTTAGGTGTATGTCATAAAATTTACTCGGTACTATAGTGTTAGGAGAGGCTGAATCAAGTTCCATGTCAACACGTGTTGTTTCATCGTGTGCAATAACTGTAACAGTACGAATGTCAGTCATAGATAGTTTAGGCTCTGGAGAGTTGGAACGATACTTAGACATAGTACCTGTGTTACCAATGGAAAATACATTTTCAGAGGACTGTGCCTGCTGACTAAAAACGGAATCTGTGGGATGCAACTGAGAAAGGCGTACTGAACGACAACAACGGGTAAAATGTGCACGCTTACCGCACTTTTTGCAATCCATTTCTGAGGCAGGGCACTCGGTAAATTCGGCTTTATGCTATGGGCTGACGCAGCGGAAGCATTTCTGTGGGATTGAAACTCGGTTGGCGAGCGATGGATCTTGGAAACCTCCTGTATGGCTGCGTGGGTGGCGAAACGTCGCAACTGCTCGGCCGTTCATGTTTGGAGGCGAGTACTTCCACAGCCTTATCCCAAGTCAATTTGGAAGCGCCTTCGGAAAGTGGACATGCCCGAATTCGGTTGTTAGTGATTCCACTAATCCTCGGCTGCACTAGCATTACGCCATCGATTCTACTTTCAGTATGTTTGGATACTCGCGAGGTCGTACACCGCGAATAAGGCGAGCAATGAAACCGTCTAGAGTTTTCGATGGTTCTTGTGTAAGTCGGCCGAATTTGAGGCGAGCCATGAAGAGGTTGGTGCGTTGCCCCCGTGGCTGGTCCAGCACCTCTAGTGCTTTCGTTAAGGTATCTTGTGACTAAAGCTCCAAAGCCTCAAACTGACGTTGTCCCTCATCACCGAGTAGGTGTCTGAGAAGCTTTAGTTTCTGGCCTTCAGTGTAGTTAGAAGCCGTAATTAGTAGGTCAAGATAGTTTGTAAACGAGGTTTCCCACTGAGCTCATGCACTTTCGGCAGGACGTAAGGTCGGATCAGACCGGTAAACTGTAGGAGGATGTAATTCCATGGCGTGGAGTCGTAAGCCGCGTCGCCAGTGTTGTATACGAAAGGTCAAATGCACGAACAAGTTAAAAGGTCACTCTGGTAAACGAACTGCTGTAAGCTGATCAGTGTCTAACTGTGTGAGTACATTAAGGTGTCGCAAAGAGAAGGATAAACCAATAGGGAAGCAGAGAATTAGACGCTTTGGGTGTGTGTGTCTGGGGTTGTGTGTACGTGCCTGTTTAAACTAGCCGTCAAGAATGTTGACAGAATACACAACAATATATAAGTAGCAACCCTCCCCTCCCTTGTGTGTGCGACGTTGCGAAAAGAGGCGGTACCCATAATGAGAAGACCCGTTATGATTATATGGCTTGAACCAGGTTTCTGTGATGCTAATCATAACTAGTTCGGACATATATGCAGCGTGTTAGTTCGTAACTTAGCAGTAAGAACCAGGGGTGAAAATGTGCAACTAGGGCATTTGTGCCTCAATGCCGAAGAGAAAAACGTGCTGTTGGAGATGCATCTTCAGATGTGAGAGAGAAGTAAGCAAAGGCAAGGACTGAAAGCTAATTAGGAGCCAAAACCTTTACATTGGGGTGGGCTGGTTTTGACACACCCGCAGTAAGATAATAAGTGCACCCCAGATGGATAAGAAGAGGAGGATAGGGAAGGAAGTGAATAAACGCCGTAAGACGAAACGGCGGGATAGAGACGGGGTAGGACGGATGATAAATCCGTCAGCTCAAAGATAGGAGTAGCAAAAGGGCGGATATCTAAGTCAGTTAAAACCCACAAAATTGGGGAAGAAAAAGTGATAGGTGTGAAGGAAGTAGCTAAACGAATTTGCTCATAACTAGCCACCACAGTGCGCAGCGTTAGTTAGTCACCTGAGCTTAGCCTAATGAGGGCTGGGTAACAGCCAATGCGCTTTAGAAACCGGTTAGCTTCTAGTGCCTGCGGCTGGATTGCCCTGAATGTTGCGACCGTCTCTTTGAACACATCAGTGGACACTTCGTCGTTGAACACAAGCGTGCTGTGTCTTGCGCCGAGCAGCACAGTTAAGGATGCTGGCGATCGCTCCGCTTACGTCACCTACTAAATTGGAGTACAGGGCATGGTGGTTTCAGGCCAGTTTGGTGCGGTGTCATTTGAAGGTTTCTTTTTGCCTGTCACCTGTCACAGTTGTGCACACTTGAGCATTGTTTAGGTGCTAGTGGAAAGCATGCACAAGTCTGTGATCGTCCTCATCTACCTCATCCGGGTGAGCAACGACTGGCATTACTCGAGCCTTAATAAGCACTCGTCTCGGTGGCGCGAAATAGACCTGTGTGAAAGAGGTGGCCAGGCGAAGTTGCTCACAGCTGCCAACGCAGTGCGCAGCGTGAGTTCGTCACCTTAGCTCAACCTAAGGTGGACTGGGCAACAGCTTAACTGCTTCGGAACTTTGGCTGTTGTAGGAAAAGGGTTTGGCCAAAGAAGCTTCGGAAAATCCAAAGTTATAAGCTTATGTTAAGAGGTGCCGGGGTACAAATTCGCTAATGCCAACTTTGTTGCGGATCAATAGAACTCATGCTTATGCAGACTCTGACGATGCTCATGTACTTGGTGAGCAGTATGCAGGGGTTTTTGTACGTAAGGCCAACTTTACTAGCGTTGAATATGTCCCATGCGTCCCTAAAGAAGTTTGGCTGTCAGCCGACTGCAAATAATAGAGTGCAAAGTAGGTCTGTACGGTGTATCGCCGGCTAGCATTACTGTTCAGCGGAAGCTACGGCAGTGTTTCAGGACGTGGTGAGTTTTCTCCTGGCAAGAGCTTACAAAATAAAAAGCTGTACTACTGGCTCATGATCACGTAGTGGATGTGATTTGCTTAGGCATTTCGAAAGCATTTGATAAGGTACCCCACTTGAGGCCATCACAATGGTTGATCTTCTAGGTTGTACCCGGCCGCGCTGTTCCCTGGGTAGCTGTATTCCTGTCTGGAAGAGCGCAGTGTGTACGCGTGCGGCGCTGCCTATCTTTTAGACCATCGGTCCCTAGCAGTTTTCCCCAGAGCTCGGCGCTTGGACCGATACAGATTTCCATCTACGTAAACCACCTCCACGAGGAGGTTGGGGTATTCTGGCTATTTTTGCCGATGACCTCACACTGTGGAGTGTTTAGATGCCCCTGGGGATTTGAGGCGAAGCAGCATGCCCTGGGCTGACTCTGGGACTGGTCTAGTTTGTGGCTACTGGCCATTAAGCAGGTTGTGTTCCGTTCTTCGTGTAAGAGGGAGTTTATCCCTTACGAGCTTCGTGCTCAGTGGAGTCGAATTTCCTCTTCACCAACAACGTAGACCGAGGCGTCATCCATTCCTCTTGTTTACACTCTGGTGACAACTGGAAGGAGGACACAAGTAGGTGTATCAGAATGTAGCGATAATAACACCATTTTTCGGTGGCCTATCTGCTGCTATCTTTGCGAAGTCGTTGTTAACTTCCTTTCGAACCCGTCTGAAGTACTGCTTCTAGGCTTTCCCTCCCTGCCTTGTTGGGGACAAATTGGTGCTGGAGTGTTTTGATAGTATGTTCCAATTTGGTCGAGGGGTTACGAGTCCAACCTACCTCAAGCGTCTAACTAGTTTGGGTATTTATTATTTGCACTATCGACGGCTTCCATGAGACCTAATCCTTACTTACCGCATTGCAACACGGAAGGTTGACCCGTACTTGGGCTCAGTATTAAGCTCGGCTAGGTTGCATTGTCTTCGTGGTCATTTCGTGAAGCTTCACAAGCAGCTTTCCGACCAGAGCAGGGCGGAAACTCGGATATGGTGTACCGTTTTTAAGAGCTGGAACTCTTTCTCAGAAAGTGCTGTAGGTGAACCTACGGCTAGGGGTTTCGAGCGCCAGTTCGTCGCTCATAGGTGGCAGCACGGAAACTTCACTTCTCCTGACCATACCCATCCACCGCATTTGAGTTCATATACTGTCTTTCTCCTCGCTCTTTGTTGTTATCCTTCATCCAAAAGACTTTCCTTCATCTTTGTCCTTCATTAACTTTCTACGTCGTCCTTACTTCATGTGACCTGCTCAACGAGGACTGCTACTGACGGGAACGTGGCTGTAATTAAGTTGACCGCGGTGTGGTTCGGTTACTTCTTATTAGATCCATCAAGACCTCCCAGCAGCCTATCATTTCCTGTCTCAACGATCCGCTAAAGAAGAAGGGCACAAGGGATTTGCCTATCATTTCAGTCCCATTTGCATCTAAATGGGAATCTTTTGTCATCCACGAAAATACACTGACAGGCCCCAAAACACACTACTTTGATAGTTAGACTATTACAGGAGAACATAGTGGTACATTTAGTCTGGTATTACCAAGTATCCCTAACCGCGGTCAGTGATTTAGACACAGCTGTGTTGACAAACTTGTTTTAATTAGCCACAAAGTGCCGTTGTTGTGACGACCATTTGAATGGATTACGAAAACTGTCCGAGGAAACATGAAGTCGACACATATATTCGAGAGCATAAACTTGTAGAACTTTTTAACAATCTAACCTCTTTGCTAATTTATAATCAACCGGGTATGTAAATTAACGGCTGTATTTTTGTTGTACTTTACAGTTTAAATTATTTGTTCATAACAATAACGCAGTTATATATTGCTTCTTTGGAAGTTAATAAGTTTTTTTGGTGACGTGCAAGGTATATAAATACTGATGTGCGCATATTGACCCATTCATTTACGCGGCAGAGCATTGTTATCTGTTGTTGATACATTAAGGGAGCTTGATAATATTATATGCTACTATTTATGAGTATGCACTATTCATCTAGTCTAGTGTTCCAAGCTTTTTAGTGTCCGTGTAGTATGATGGGTCGTAATAGACCTTAGAGCTGCAACACAAAATAACTACCTAGTAGACGATTGGATGCTCAAACGCCTAGTCAAAGGCTGAGGCATGTGAAGCAGTTAAGATAGAAAGGGAAGTAAGACGAAAAAGTGCGAGAATAATAAGAGCGTAAGGCTAACAGAAAACAAAAGTTATCGAACGCTTACTTGTTAACGAGTTACAGTAAAGACTGCGGACCGGCTACAAGTATACCAAACAATACTTTTTCTTCCAGTCGCACATCAATCGAAGATCGACGCTGACACACATACGTTTAGCCGATGACTCTAATATCAGAGTTATAAGTGTTGACTCTTAAGGTTTATATATGCTACAACATGTAGCGCGTCGATCGCGCGCTGTATATCCAGTACGAGACTAGACAGCCAACCTAACGCGATGAGTAGAACACACAAAAAGCATGATATGGAAAAGTTTACTTGAACGAAAGGAGAGTTAGCTAATGCTAAACATGGGATACTACAAGAAGGTAATTGGCAAAACACATAAATGTTAAGCTAGAAAAATGGCTTCTTAAACGTGAGGAGAACTAGCAAATGCTAACAATAAACTACCAAGGAATGTCTATCTAGGGAGGATGTAAACCTACGTCGAGTGCGTAGACCATCTTCATTCACGGTCCGAGTCGCGCGCTACAAGGACAGCTGTCGTATTCGTGGTTTAGACAAACGGGAAAAACATTCTGACGCAAACCGCCTGATTCCCTAATACAGAAAACTATAGTTTATATATATTTTAACATAATTTACAACGTCAGACGAGGAATGTCCAGGTCGTTACAAACATACTGGAATGATTGAGGCCTGTGCTAGTACCGTAATAGCGGATTGCCTCAAGAAATCAAAACTAGATGAGCAGTATCACGGACAAGTTTTCGTGTTAATTACATGGCCGAAGCAGTTGTCATTGTCGACACAATTGTAAAGCCATGCAACCCATCTGACTACGTCTTCGGCAACTGGCGGAAATTTAGGCATAAAAAATAATTGGGGTAATCTGTTAAACTATAACACAAACCAGCAGTATGTTCATGCAATAGCTAATATTTTAAAAATTTCGTGCACAAACTGCTGTTGTTTTTCCAATTTGTATGGTTCGGACATCCTAGGAAGACACATACTGTTTATAATGCGGTCATTTAAAAGTTCTTGAGTACACTCACTTTTTTAGTAAAACGGTTTAAATTCTGAGAAGAATACCTCTGTACCATGTCAGTGCATGCAACCACTTGGCTGTAAACGCGCTGTGCATCTTCACTAACTCAGCTCTAGCTTTGCTCTCTGTGGCCGGTGGCCGAGTGGTTTTCGCTTCCGGTTTGCAACCATAAGGTCACTGGTTCGGATCCACGTATGAGTGGGCGTCCTCGAGGTATACTCAGCCCGCGCGCGACTGGTGGTGGTCGCGCGGCAGCGAACCGCCTTTACGGCGTACAGCTGATACATTAGTATTGTTTATTACTGTTATCATTATTATTATTATATTGTGCGTGCGCAAACAAATGGTGTTTAACGATCATAAAACTAGAAATAAATCATGTAAATGGTGTCATATTGGAAAGGAAATAAACCTGAGGGTATTAACTCCAACAGAATCACGTTTATGACAAGCGTCACTATCTCCAAGGAAGCTTGAGGGTGACAGTCAACTGTTTTGCACACATAGTTTCGAAGAGTTATGATTAAATGCAACATTCCCAACCAGCTTGAGTACCTTGGCGTTTTCATCAAGGTAGATAATTGTAACTGTAAAGTTAGAATAAAGTTGGTGCCCCGTTTCAAGTAGATGTTTGGTTATGGGAGAGGCCGGCAATTTGGATCCTGATGTTTGTCTCTGCGATTGTTTTGCCATACTTGTAACAACCCATTTTGGGATGTGCGCACCGATCCGTTTGAGAAGACACCGGCCTGTTCTGCTGATGTAACTGCTTCCACAGTTAAAGACAAAACTGTAAATGCAATGTGTCGTGCCAGCGACCGACTGCGTAAGATTACCTAGAGGCCTTGGTAACTTACTGGTTGTCCAACTTGGGCACAGTTTTGCAGCATTGAATGAATGTTGAATTGTTGTGGCAACATGCCGCTCGGCTTGCCTAGCCAAGTCATCCCCTTTGAATGGCAATTAAAGATAGACGGATATTTTTGACACTGAAGGGGGCTTTTGATGGTTCTCTTCGGTCGCGCGACCGTTGAACTAAATAACCTCTGTGGGTAGCCATTTGCCTCTGGCATCTGTGTGATGAACTGTATTTCAGCTTCGACACATTCAGGACTACATAGTATACGAGCTCGTTGGAACAGCGTTTTGACGAGGCAACCTTTGTACCCGACCGGTATGAAGCTGCTAAAGTTTTCGTAAAGTCCCGTCCAAGTGCCTTTTCGGTAGACAGAACGTCGTACCAAACCGTCGTCAGTTCTAGTCAAAAGCACATCCAGAAAGCCAGGCCGTTGTTTCTCTCTAACACACATGTCAAATGAGCGTCCGGGTGTGCATTGTCCATCACCTAGAGAAGACGTTAGGCGGCATTAGGTTGTGGGCGATCAGTAGCGTAGCGTCAATGTATGACCTATAAAGATACATTGCGTCGAGGTGTGAGTCACAGCGTGCTGCAACCATTGACAAGAAAACGTCCGCTAGCGCGGGACTGGGTGAAGTTCCCATTACAACGCCATCCACTTGTCGGTAGGACTCAGCTTTGAATAAGTAAGGTACATTATCTGTGCATAACAGAATTTAATCTTTTAGATATTCGACGGGTACCGGCAACGCCACTTTTCTGTTCGTTACAAAATCGCATAGTTTTTCCACCGTCTCTCCTAATGGGACGTTGGTAACAAGCGATTTAACATCCAGTGAACACACTACTTTGTCTGCTGTGTTCATACATTGTACATGTTCGATCACTTCAAAGGGGTCTTTGACAGTGGGTCTTACGATCATGTGCCTGACTGTCGCTAGTATCCCGACTAACCACCTGGGCAGTTTGTGATACGGAGAATTGTTCCTGGACAATATCGGTCTAAGGGTATGCCAGGCCTGTAGATTTTAGGTAGGCCATACACTTGTGTGGTGTAAGTGCCCGCTGGTTTAAGTGTGTTGTACATTGTTTCTGTAAGCATTTCGTGGTACAGCAATAATTTCAGCCTGCTGGCTACCGATTTTTCGACCTGGGTTACTTCGGTCACAGTTTTGTCCTTTTGAAATCTAAGCTTATAACTAAGTACCTCATTCATCTCGTTTATGTATTCTGACTTGTCCATAATGACGACTTCGGTACCCTAGTCCGGCTTCAAACATATCACATTTTTGGATTTCCGATAGCTTAGTTCTTTGATGTGGTAGTTATCTAGAGTGCAAGTTTGGCGAATTGGCGCCTTCATAACGCAGCTTGCAATGTCGACAAGCTTAACTTTAAGCCAATTTTAATTTTCCTGTGTCGTTGGGTTAAGCCCTGACAGTTGCTCAAGCAGATTTTTGAATTGTGCTTCCACATGGACTCGAGCAACTTTCCTTGAAGGAACTTTTAGTTCAGACCCTGTGAGAGCTTTTATTTGCTTTCTGTTCAAAGGTATGGAGAAGTTATGTACATACGTATCTAAGTCATCAATAAAAATGGATTCCACATCGGCGTTCTGTAGAGACCTTTGCTGTGCTTTCAAAAGTTTCCTTTACCTTATGTCAACGACCGTCTTACAGAATTCGATGAACTTGATCCGACACACTAATGTGAGTTGATTGGTAACCGTGACACGCCGGTCATATATCACCATAAGTTGCGAAGGCGTACTCATTGCCCCTCCATACAGATGTTCGTAAGTCGCTTCAAGGTTGAGATCGTAGGTCTCAAAGTTTGTTGCCTAATAGTCGGCTAGTAGCTTTCCGGAACGATGTCCATCCGTTGCTGATAACTCAACCAGCATCCAACTGTTGCATTTCGTTCCTTTATTTTCTTTTATGTATTGAGACACAGTAGCTGAGGTGTTTTACACCTCTAGCTAAGGTGCATAATGAGGATGATGATGACCTCAGTGCACTCTGGTAAACCTCGAATTCTTTGAGTAAACCTAAACTTAGCAGATGAGACAGAGGCTGTCCTGCTCTCAACAGTGCATTTGCGCAACTCACCGAGCGGAGTGTGCATACTACTCGATCTACCTTGGAAAGATCGCCCCAAAGAAACAGGTGGCTAACGCGGCATTCCTAATGGCGACTGCAAGAAATCAATATTTGTTCATGGTGTTCCCCAGCTCCTGGACACTTCTGATCACGATGCGCAAACACACGACCGACGGCAGTGGTACTACATCTGCAAAGCACTCTCTGTTAGCAATGTTATTGCCAAATGCTTGACAAGAGTTCCGTCATCACCTAAGAGCTGCTGTCCAAGACTAACGAAAGTAGTAGTACACTCCGTGGGAAGGAAGCAAGTTCTATTGGATAACTGGTCAAAGTTTCGAGCCAGGTTGCCAACAGAGATCCTGCTAAAGACAGCAGGTAAACGGCTAAGAGTCATAAGCGATTCGACGGAACTTGCAAACGCTGTAAATTCTTTATCTGCACAGTCCAGCGGAGCAACAGACACAATAGCACCCGCGGCACACAACAGGACAGAGAGAAGCACGAGTGAAAAGTCTGCTAAGGAACGCTCAGCAATGCCATGCAACTTGACTGAA